CGGAAGCCCAAGAGAGCCTGTCGACCAGCCCAGTGGGGAGCCTGCCTTCCAGCCCAGTGGGGAGCCCGCCTTCCAGCCTAGCCAGGAGCCTGCCGACCACCAGCCCAGCTGGGAGCCTGCGGTCCAGCCCAACTGGGAGCCTGCGGTCCAGCCTACCCGGGAGCCTGCCTTCCAGCCCAGTGGGGAGCCTACCTTCCAGCCTAGCCAGGAGCCTGCCGACCACCAGCCCAGCTGGGAGCCTGCGGTCCAGCCCAACTGGAAGCCTGCGGTCCAGCCTACCCGGGAGCCTGCCTTCCAGCCTACCCGGGAGCTTGCCTCCAGCCCACCGGGGAGCCTGCCTTCCAGCCTACCCGGGAGCCTGCCTTCCAGCCTACCCGGGAGCCTGCCTCCAGCCCGGTCAGAAGCCCACCGTCCAGTCCAGCAGGAGGGAGCTCAAGCGTCCAGCCTGCCAGCCAGGCTGACCTGCCAGCCAGGAAGAGTAACGGCCAACAATCAATGCGCGACTTAATTATGTGTTTAATTCTGTATTAATGTTGTAATTAATTTAGTCATTATTATGTTCGGCAGTTACCATTTGTAATCGCCTATAAAAGGCAATTCGAATTTCAAATACAGGGATGCTTTTTCTGGCTAACTTTCCATATTCGTACTTTCCTAATTCCTGCTTGAGTGTCGTACGTAGCTTTCCTAAAAGCCTACGAGCGTCCTATTTTGGACCAACAAACATTGATGATTAAGGTTGTAGTTATTGTATCACACGAGTAAATCAATGATGACTTAGTGAGATAATTTAGTTGAGGCCTCAGATTTAATATCTGATAGCGGCAGTGTGGAAGTTTCAATGAATGTAGGCGATGACTCCTTGAGCGCACCAAACTCTAAATCACCTAACACATAAACTATTTGAGATCATATTGTGATTTACACATTCATCATTCTGTCGAGTCGAGTGTGAAGTATGAAGTAAGTGACTCAATCTTTTGGATTGAAGTTTGGTGTTGTTGCATACATGTCTTAAATTGGTGTAATGATAGGAAATAGTACAATTGATTGAAGGTGGTAGATACATGTAATAAACCGATTGTGGATAAGGATTTAGGACTTACTTCAAATTTGGTGTTGTTGCATACAAGTCTTAAACCGGATCAAATTTGGGACTTACTTTCTAAATTCCAATTGAAATCACATTAGTTCTTATTCGAAAAGGAGCCATTACATCTCACTACACCAAGTACATTAGATTATCTCCAACAACAATGTTTGGTGTACACATAGTTTGTACATATAATATGTACACCATGTCTAGTTTTCTGTCTACATGGAAGCTTCTTAACGAAATATCTTTATGGACAAACAACTAAAAGGGTGTACACATGTGTACAAACTATTTGTACCACTAGCACGCCAAAGACTCGAATATAGGCCTGGGATCGGTTCGGTTCTTGTTAAAATTCGATGGAACCGTATTAAAAATTGTAGGCGTTAACTTTGGTTCAGTTCTAGTTAAAAATATAGTTGTTAAATTTGGTTTGGTTCTAGTTAAATTCAGTACGGTTCTTACCTTTTTTTGGTTCCTTATAACAATTTATTATCCTCCTAAAATGAACACATTTTAGTATTTTACCTTCAGTTACATAAAAAATTCAAATTTCAAATCACGAAGTTATGACTATTACATTATACATACATGATATCCCAATGTTCAAATAGTAAAAAATATCCAAGTGCAAACATTGAATTTAAACATAACAAAAACATTAGTAAATTTAAAATAGGCATCAAGTGTCATACAAAAAGGTTTAATAGCTTCAAGGTACACATCCAATAGCAGGTCGTTCAACCCCAAGATAATATTCTTCTACTAGTAATGATCATAAGTAAAATGTATGTAGTTATAAACTGACTGGTAATATCAATAATTTACTATGAACAAATAACAACATAATCAGCAAAACATTAATTCTTTTTTTAGGAGAAGTCAATCAACAAATACAATTACAAACAAACAATAAATATAAAAGTGGACTAAAGTAGTAAAATAACAACTACTCGGATTGGCCCAGTCCACAATATATAAGGTATATTATCCAAGACTAATATTCCCGACAAGAATTTTCTGCTCAGAACGCCATCTGGCCACCTCCATTTGAGGTGTTTCCATGTAGATTTTTTTGATGAGATTTTGTAAGCATATTCTACATGAAGTGTAGATTCAATCCGTCGAATTTCAGCGTAAAATCAATCGAAAAGTGAGTCAAATTAAATATTGAAAAACATTGTGTTTTTATATAAATTTTGGAGTAGTGTTTTTTTAATAATTTATTTAACTGACTTCCCGATTGAATTTTAAGTTCACATTTGGTGGGCATAATCTATATTTCATGAAAAGAAATATCACAAAATTTCATCAAAAAATTTCACCCAGAAGCACCTCAAATGAAGATTACTCATGCAACGTCTAAGAAGTTCGGTTCCTGCCTAGGAACCGGAACCGAACTGGAACCGAACCGGAACCGACCCGATCAAATACTATATGAACTGAACCGAAAAAGACCGAAGTCCAAAATTATATGAACCGAATCGTACCGGAAAATTTGGTTCGATTCGATTCGATTTTTCTAGTTTTACGGTTCCAAGTCCCAGGCCTACTCGAATATACCGATCACATTCCGTGATGATAGGGAGATATGAATAGTTTACACGTGTGTGTCTTTTACCCTCACATGATTCATTATGGTTGGTGAAAGACATAAGGTTAAGGGCTATGCTAAAATTAACAGGAATTCTGCGAGTACTAGAATCAGAATTTCACTTTTTATCTGCCAACTTGTGGGCTTGAGGTTTTTTTTTTGTTTTTCGGCGGGTTTTCACAGCCACGTTTCTCTTGGGATTGATCCAGCAGAATAACGCTGCTTTGTTGGCCCATGGATAGACAGTCGTACCTCGTACAGAGACATCGGAATGCTAAAAACGGAAAGGTTCACTTCTGATAAAAAAAATGGAGAGTGACTGGTTTCATTAAATTCAACTACTATTCAATAATCAGTATTCAATCCTATTAATTGTTAGTTTGATCTTTTTAAATGACATTAAAAGCTTAATTTTCATTAGAATTTTGAGGATAAAAGTGATAAATTCCGTACTATTTTTGGAAAATAAACGATCAACATTAATACTCCTTCCGTTCTTTAATGTCCGTCTCTTATTCCATTTTGATTTGTTTTTAATACTATCCCCGTATCTCATTAATTGCAACATTGGAACATATACACTATTCATATACTTTATTTTGACTACATTCTATTTATTAATGTTTGTGGATTATGTTTTTTGAAAAATGTTGTTAAATTCATCTCATTAGTAATTTTTATAATCTGATTTTTATTAATACAAAATTAAATATAATGACGGTCAAAGTTTTGCATTGACAAACGTGAAATGTTGACTGTTGTAACTAAAAAGAGACGGAAGAAGTATTAGTTCTTCTTTCTATATTAGAAAAGTTTTTGAGATAAATACCTCCACTTTTATTACTTTTACCCCTTTTACTTTTACATACTACTTTCTTTTTCCTACTTTATCATCACTTTACTCTTCTTAATATAATCTTTTTCCTACTTTATCATCATTTTACTCTTCTTAATACACTTTCTTTCATACTTTATCATTTACTCTACCCACTCTATAATACTCCTACTATTTTTCTTTTAAAACTTGTGCCCATGCCTAAAGGAACAGGTAATTAAGAACGGATGGTGTACTATATCTCACTACACCAAGTACATTAGATTATTTCAAATGACACAAGGTGCACGATGCACAAGTGATATAAGAGAGATAGACATATAAAAACAAATAAATGACTTCTCTCTCTCTCTTCACAGTTTTATATAATTTTGATAACTTTTTCTCAACAATGTCAACCATAATGTTTACATCTAAATATTTTTCTTGACATTTTTGAAAAAACGTACCACAAACCATTACATCCGTAACATATATATCTTCTCATTTAAAAGTATGTGAGATTAAGAATAATAAAAGAGGGTATCAATTATTGATGGTATGATGGGAAATAATGAAATAATGTGCTAGAATGAAGGATAAATCAAAAAGTAGTTGTAATAGTATATTATTTTCAAAATTATTGAGGATATAATGTGAAGATTTAGAAATAGGAAGATATGAATGTTACAAATGTAATACTCCGTAATATTAATGTGTCTACATGTGCACCATACACATTGTGTCAGTAGAGATCCTTTTAAGATCTATGACACCCCCAACGAATCACATTCCAATTCACACATGGTGATCTTTAATTAAAAATAAATACCATAGTATTAAATTTTAATATTAAATTCTTTTTTATTTTTTGATCGTATTAAATTCTTCTTTATTGGGAAGCACAATAAAACAATATATGATATTAATTCATTATAGTTATCGGTTAATGATAAATTCATTTTTTCATAATTTGAATGAATACTCCTTCCGGTTTACAAGTAAGGGTATATATTTGCCCCCAAAAAATAAGGGGTACATAATTATCTACTTCGGATTTTTTTTTTCTATTATGCTTGGAGGAAAATCATTCTGAAAAAGGTTAATAGAAAATTAAGTAACATTATCACAAGGAACCTGAAATTCTAAGAATTTCACGAGGGAAGGATGTTGTAATTTTAAGGTTTTTAGTGCCTTTTCACACGGAAGTATATTACTCCCTCGATTCCTATATAAAAGTTCCCTTTCATTTTACACACATTTTAAGAAAGTGGACACACCGAAATATATTACTCCCTCCATCCTTATATAAAAGTTTCCTTTCATTTTACACACATTTTAAGAAAATGGAATGTTTAACACTGTTTTGCTTTGTCTTGTTCACGAAAAAAAGAAATGATATTTTTATTTAAGAACTATCCCAAAAGGAAAGATAGACTTTTAGTTGGGGAGGGAGGGCTATTTTTTGAGGGTGAGTTTCAAGCAGTTGGCCTTCTTTTGAAAGTATCACAGTATTGAAAACATTTTAATTTCGTCCCCATCCATAGAAGAAGAAGACAGCCAATTTTCGTATCACATGTGAAAACGCCACCACCACCACCAATAATTCAATCCATACTCAACCACTATGGTCTGAAAATCACCTAAACCTCTGAACCGTAAATCTTCTTCTTCTTCATCATTATCTTAAAGATGAAATATTCGGCGACGAAATAATGGTTCCCTTCAAACGCACAATTAGCTGAAGACAGGTAATCATAACCTACTACTTACTCGTAGAATCGATCGAATGGGAAATGCTCAATTTCTCGCATTGTACATCACAGTATGCGTACTTGCATTCGTGGCCTCTAAGATTGTAATTGCGGTTCTATGCTATCGCAGATGGAAGAGGAAACATATGGAGATCCACCACAGTTTCTCAGGTTGTAACAATGGCGTTTCTACCGTCCCCAATTTTTACTTCCAAATATAAACTCCTGCTTTTAAATTAATTTTTTTAACCCGCTATATGTACATATGCAGGCGACGGCGGGAGGCTGGTGATGTTCCGAACGGAGAAGACGAAGACATTGAAGTCGGAGGCGCTGGTGAAGCAGTTGAGGAAGCTGAGCAACAAAGACGTGATCGGATCGGGGGGTTATGGGACAGTTTATAAACTGACGATGATGGATGGATGTGTGACTTTTGCAGTGAAAAGGCTGAACAGGATGAGTGCAGAGCAGGACAAAGGGTTTGAAAGGGAATTGGATACCATGGCTGACATAAAACACAGAAACATTGTCACACTTCATGGATATTATACTTCTCCTCACTATAACCTACTCATCTATGAGCTTATGCCTAATGGGAGCTTGGATAAACTCCTTCATGGTATTGTTTTTACCTCATCTATTATACTACCTCCGTCCCACTAAGATTTGGACGACAGAAGGTGACACGATTATTAAGAAAAGGGGGTTTGTGTGGTTGATATTAAATTGATAAAGTAAGAATAAAGTAAGAATTATTTAGAACCACACAATCTTTACCAAATTTGGTATGAAACAATCTTAGTGTGATTTCCCGAAAAAGTAAAATGGGACAATCTTAGCGAGACAGAGGGAGTATTTATTTAAATATCTTTCTTAATATTATGATAATAGTGTTAAATCATCTCACATTGCAGACACTAAATGTAGATATACAAACTCATTTACTCTGTATAATGTTTTGGATTAGAACACCTGAGCATAATCAATGTTTAAAAAGACTAGTTCGGGTATCGAGGCGAGGCGAAGCCTCAAAATTTACAAACAAGTAAAACTTAAAATAGTTAAACTAGTAATAACCAACTATAGATACATAATAAAAGTCCAAAAAGCCTCAAACACAAACACATATATGATCACATAACCAAACATGATAGCTCAAAATGAGAATTCAAACACAAAACATACACATCACATACATGACAATTTGAAACTCATGAGTCATGAAGCTTAATCATCATGACTGGAGGGTATTCGGAAGAATCATTATATATTTATATCTTATAGCCTTCTCACTGTCATCCCTTATAGTCCCTTCTAATCTTCTATATCACTATCATAATTCTTAAGCTCTTTCTCTTCTTCATCATCATTTGCCTCCATTACTTGTTTATTTTTCTTATTTTTTCCTTGGTTACCCATCTACTTCTTTGTGCAGAAGTATGAATAAGTTTGAACAACATGTAAAATATGCTTAATAGGGAGGAGTATATGTTAGGGTTTAAATGAAATAACACTCGTTTGGGTTTACTATAGACATATGTTCCATGCTTGAGCCTTTTATTAAATAAAAACACTGCCTTTTTAAGCTACAAGCACATTAAAAAGATAGAAGAAAAGGAAAAGTGCCTCAAGGTGCGCCTCAGGGTGTTCGCCTTGAATTTTGAGGCATAAGCCTCTTGTCCTGCAACAAAAACCTAAGCCTCAAAACCTTCTCTGTACGCCTCACCTTGAATGCCTCACCTTGAGGCGCGCCTCAAAACCCGCCTCTTAAGCGCCTTTCTAAACCATGATCATAATATGGTATATTAATTTATAATGCTCAAACGAGCCGACTAAAACTAAAAAAGAGTTTATGGATTATCTAGATAGATCTGCTCTAATTAGCCATCATCATGTGGGCATTATCGAATCAATCTATATTGGCCACAGCCTAATATAAATATATAAATATATAAAAATGAAATCTCAAATATTGCGGTGCGTGTTAAGTCAAGATAGGTCTGCTCTAAATATTCCTTGTTTGGTTGATTTACTTACTATATCAGCTATGAATATGATCAAGAAGTATAAGTCTTCTTCCTACTTATCTATAATAACAATAATGATGTTGCAGATAGAAGTTCAAACAAGGAGTTGGTTTTGGACTGGCAATCAAGATTGGGAATAGCAGTGGGGGCTGCAAGAGGATTGTCATATCTGCATCATGATTGCATTCCTCACATAATCCACCGGGACATCAAGTCCAGCAACATATTGCTGGATCAGAACATGGAGGCTCAGGTGTCTGATTTTGGACTCGCCACACTTATGGAACCAAACAAGACTCATGTTTCAACTCTAGTTGCAGGAACCTTTGGCTACTTGCCCCCTGGTATACATGCATCTTATAATACTCCGTAATTATTCTCTCCGTCCAAAATGTTTGATACCTTTGGATTTAACACGAGCTTTATGAAAAAAAAATAGTTTGTTGTTTATGGTTGAAACTTAAGGTGAAGTAATATATAAAAGATTAAGTATGATGATTAAAATTTGTTGAGTTCATATTGGGAAAATGGTCTTTTATTTGGGACATATGATCGAGGAAAGTGTGTAACAAAATGAGACAGAGCATGAAAGTGTGAAATGTACAATATAAGGACTTCTCTAATATTTCCAACAAAATACCAATTAGATAAAGTTGCTTTTAAGTTTTAGCGTTTTCACTAACATAGTAGTGGTACTGTGGTAGTACCACCAATCAAATGGCCAGTTGCATCACTGCATGTTGGTAATTGCATTGATATCATTTGAGTCAGTCCTAAAATAATACTTAAAAACATCAGCATGTTTGTCCCTTTTAAGGATTTTTTCATAATGTAATTGTTCTTAAATTTGTCATTATTTTTAATGTGAACTTTCATTGTTTGTAGAGTATTTTGACACTGGAAAAGCGACCACAAAGGGAGACGTTTACAGCTTTGGAGTAGTCCTTCTGGAGCTTGTAACTGGAAGAAAGCCATCGGATGAGGCATTTGTAGAAGCAGGAACAAAACTAGTGAGCTGGGTAAAGACTGTTGTTGCAGACAAGAGGGAAGAGTATGTAGTTGACAGCAACTTGGCAGATTGTCCAATAGATGATATAACCCAATTCTTTAATGTTGCAATGATGTGTCTTGAATCTGACCCATCCAATAGACCAACCATGGCTGAGGTTGTCAAGATGCTTCAACAAATTCAGCTTAATGGTTTAGTGTGAATTTCTTGATTTTGAAAGTATGTACAAAGAAGTAACAATGTATAAGCTGGTAAATTTATGATAGAAATTGTTTTTTTGGGGTACTTTTTGGTCTTTGGCATTTTGGTTGTCTACTTTTATTTAAATATATATAGGAAAAATGGTCAAATAAGCCCTTCTATTATTTCTAATCCATCACTTAAGTCCCTATACTAAAAAAAGTACTCTGTATCATATATAAGTACGCCTACTTTACAAACTTGATAAATTTGACCATTTAATCATTTTTTGACCAGGGGTGGAATCGGGTCGGGTCAACCGGCCCGTAACCGGTCCGGCCAGGCACCCGGGCCGGGTGCATTATATCCAAACTGCCAGTTTTCGGGGCCGGCTCTGGGTCTCCAGAAAGTGAACCAGCCGGGCCGGGTCCGGGTCCAGGCCAATTTTTTTTTCTCACAATCTTTGGGAGGTAAATAAGTTGTTTTGGAGGGGTTTTGGGTGTGGGGGTGTGGGGGGTAGGGGGGAGGAAGTAATTAGAAAATAAATAAAAATCGGGTCAACCGGCCTGATCCGGCTTGGGCTCGACCTGTACCCGGTAGCTACTCGTGCCGGTTCCAGGCGTCAAGGTACAAAAAAAGCCCGGTCAGGCCTGGCCCAAGGTCCGGCTCGACTAGAGGCCCGACCGGCCCGGCCCGAGATCCAGCCAGAGGCCCGACTCAAGTCCATGCCTATATTTTGACATGTACCAGCAGTTTTTTTTATCATTGTACTAGCAGATTTTTAATATTTAAAAGCTCTAAAAATATTAAAATTTGAAAAATATATACAAATATTGTGAAAATTTTCAGAATATCAAAGTTAGTTTTATTTTTAATTTTTAAAATTATTTGTATATTTTACATCTATTTAAAAGGTTTTTAAATTATTTATTTTTTATCTTTTTATTTACAATTTATTTTTTCAGGTTTATGATTTTCTATTTTTCTAATTTCAATTTTTTAAATTTTTATCTATTTTTACATTTATACTAAATTTTTATATATTTTATACTAAATTTTATCTATTATTATTAGATTATTCTATCAAACTTATATAAATTTTTGTAAGACTTATCAATACTCCCAATTTCATTATAAAAAAGTATTTGCTATACAGATCCAACGATTTGATTGATTGTATTTTAAAAATAAAAGTAATAATAGAATGTTTTTTTTTTCAAGTAAAAAGACTAAACGATAGATTGAAAATGTAGGAGAATCTATTTGACTCATTTTCTAAATATATACGTAGTACTCCCTCCGTTCCTATTATAACTTCCAACTTCCATTTTCGTCCATTTCAATTAAAACTTCCACTTTCCCTTTTTGGTAAAAAATTTGTGGTTCACAACATTTACTTACACATTTCTCTCTCCTCTGCACAACTCTCCACCACACAATACTCACTATCTTAAATTGTGTGTCAAACCTATTTGGAAGTTATAATAGAAATAGAGGTAGTATTCCTTATAACAATTGTCATGTACAGTATTTCACTTCGTACTTCGTATTAGTCATTTGGGATTAAGACAAAAACATGACTAAAAATCAACAATTGGACAACAAAGAGACTAAATATAACTAAGAAAACCATTATACCCTGCCACTTATTTATTATTACAATGACCATCTGTTGATTAGTTGTAACAGTGACACGTCAGCCAGTTAGCTACAGTGACCTCCACAGCCGGCCACAGTGACCTCCGTCGTCGGACACAGTGACCTCCGTCGACAGTCACAATGACCACCGCAATCCACAGTAACCTCTGCCGTCGGTCACAATGACCTTCACCGCCGTCCACCTAGGATGCACGGAAACGACAATCCCCCTCAGGTTTCCATTCAGGAAACGTTTCGGAAACGCGAAACGCTGGGAAACACCGGGAAACGGCTGGGGAACATCGGGAAACGTTTCTGAGCAGTTAGTATTTTGAGCCGGCTTGGAGAAACGTATCGGAAACGGGAATTGAATTGGGTCACGACGTTTCTGGATATTTAAAAAAAACAAGGTCGGTCAACTGAGGGCTTGAATTACATTCGCCAATCCGCGTTGATTTTTGTAAATTAAAACAAACATGCGACTCGAAGACTATAGCATCACTCTACATCTCTACCCGCCGGAGGACTTCAATAGTGAAGCAATTGGCGAGCCACAACGGAGATGCTGGACCGCTAGTAACGACGGGAGAGCTCAAGTTGGTGTTCCGGCGAAAACCAATCTACAGCTGCGCTACTTTGCTGGACGTGTGGCGTGGGACTGGGCTAAGCAAAGCTGGGTATTGCGTAAATGCGTAGGGCGTATTTGTTGGGGAAGTTTCAGACTATATTTTTAATTTGTGGTAACCGGTAAGTGCTTCCTAGTTCCTCATTCCTATTTGTCATTAAGTATGGAACACACTGATGTTACTAGTAGTGGTTCTAGTGAGAATTGGAGAGTGAGTTCATCGCTGAGTGAATCATTAACGTTTTCGTTTTATTTATTATGCATGTATGATGCATTATAATAAAGATATGTTTTGTTTAATTATTTCGTACTTGTTGGACGTAAACATTACTTATACTATTAAAATTTTAATTTTTAGTTCGACGATTCCTTGCCTTACACGTATCTTGATATTTTGAGTTTAGAGTTTCCCGTTTTCGTTTCCGTTTCCATCCTGTGCTACTTAGCGTCCACAGTAACCTCCGCCTCGACCAGAGTGACCACCGTCGCTGGGAAGTGACCTCCGCCGCGACCACAGTTCCGTGGCCGACTAGTGACCACCACCCCGTCCGGTAACCGGCTTCCCCTCCTCTTCCCAGCCCCCTCCCCAACTCCCCAACACCTTAAAGCCCCACCCCTGCTCCCCTGCCCCTCCCCAACCAAACCCCCCTCTCGAGCCTCGCCTAGCCCCAAACCCTGCCACCATCGGCCCCCGTCCACGGCCCCCAACCGCCTGTAAAATGTTATAACTGGGGAGTTGGGAAACTGTTTTAGAAAATCTGGCGGATTTCTCAGAGTATCGTGTGATCACTTTCCGAATCTAATATTTCGACCCTATGCCTGGGTTACACGAAAATTAGATTATGGGGATAATCACTCTCAGAGACAGTCTAAAACTGAGGCACCAATATATAGACCACGAACTAGCAGTTTTAGTAGAACTCGAATTCTTCTGATTACCAAAGAGATAAGGCCAATCAGTTAGAGTTTTACTCTAACAGAAAGTCATTCTATTAAATAATTAATATGAACATGTTTATCCGAAAATAAATTTCCATATTTATTTCTTTAATAAAATAAAATTTTGGTCCGGGGCACTGCCCTGAGCCCCGCGAGGGCAGCCTCCCTCGACCCCGCTCGCTGACCGGGCAGCGAGACCCCCGCCAGGGGCGCTGCCCCTTGGACCCCGCAAGGGGGCGCAACCCCCTTGACCCCCGCCATTTAATCGAACCAAGTTTAAATTTAATTTCGTACAAGTGTGTGCTCCGCACCTCCTAACTTATCTAAAATTAAACTTGAACTCCATTGGTAATCTGTAAATTCCATTACACTAAAATGAACAGGTGATACTAAAATCACCAACATAAAATAGCCTTCTTCTGCGAACTGCCGGCACCGCCCCAATCCCTCCCCTCCGCTTAACCTTTGCAGCTGCGCATCCCATCCCTGAAACCCTAGTCGTCTTCGCCATTGACCTAACCCTAACGCCGCCGTATCCTCGTCGCCTCCATCGACGGACATTGGACAGAAAATGAAGAAAAAGAGTAAATGGTGGAGGAGGCGATTGAAGCGGGTCGGCGGCGATTGAAGATGGACACGGCGATTAAAGCAGAGCGGCAACGATTGAAGCATGACGGCCGCGATTGAGGCAAGGCGGCAGCGGCAGCTCCTGGCCGGTGGCTTGGTGACGGCAGCGGCTTCCCCAGCCAAAGTAGGCCTTTGCTTCCTTCGTTCGTCATTTGTGGCAGCTGGGTTGGAAGATAGCAGGCATCGGAGAACAAGCACGAGAAATAGGTGAAATATTAGGTGCCTCTTTCCTAGTAGAGATATTTTCTTGTTAATATTTCTGTTTTTCGTTCTCCGATTTTCTATTTTCATTTTTCATTTTTTCTATCTCTATTTTTCTGTTTTCACTTTTTAGTTTTCCATCTTCAAATCTGAAAATAAGCTCATCAAACTTTTTCATCCGATTTTGTGACCGACCAAATGACCGAAATTACGATCCCATTTCAGAGCCGAACCTAGTACAAACCTAAGTAGGGTACCGGGTCCCGCGTATAGGAAATTCGGGACCAAAACTGGCATGTTCTGGTCGATCTCTACAGTTAGTTTGACGAATTCCTTTCCCAATTCCCTATTGATTGACAACTCAACGGCTCTTTTAAAACTTTTCACTTTAAAAAATGATTTCAAAAAACCGGTACTTAACCGTTGGGTCATTGACCGACCCAGACAGAGACCGCCTGGTCGTTGACAAGACTGGCTCGGGAACGCTTGGTTGTTGATAAGATTGAACACATACCGTCGAGTCATTGGTTGACAACTCAATGACTCTTTTAAAACTCTTCACTTTAAAAAATGGTTTCGAAAAATCGAGACTAAATCGTCGAGTCAATAACCGACCCTAATAATTCCCAGGCCCATCGATCGGTTATTCTTCGTCCAGCCTCCTCGAATATCTCTCTGTCTTCTCCGTCTCTGTGTCCCACGTCCCCAGCGAAGAATTGGTCCCTGAAGGCTGCTCTAGCGGAAAAGCTCCAGGTCTCTCCTCCTCCTATTAAGCCGCATCAGTCCAGGTATTTTTTCATAATTTCATCACCAACATATATACTATAATCTCTTGGCTGAATCTTTTTCCTTACAAATTGCTTATGAGTAATCTCACAAATTGATTTGATATACCTGACTATTGATGGAATAATTAGTTACCCATATCGTTTTGTTTATACCCCGTTTTCCCCCCTATTTGATTCAACTTTGTGTGGCTAGTATCTTCTCTGCTACTGCTTTATTTGCCCGTTTTTCACTATGTTTAGTGATGATGTTTATTATGACAAATAATGAATGAATTACTTTTGGGATGAATGGCTTAAAATCAGAGAAGAATATTTCTTGATTTACTTATAGAAACTGCTTTCATAATTCTATTAAGAAATAGTTTCAAACTGTATACATATTAGTAAATGATTAACTATGGGAGCTGATAAAAAATTATGAGACCACTCAGTCCAAGTTTTCGGCCTAATAATTTTGTGGTAGTCTAAAAGGTGTCTCTGTTTTTAGGCATTCTGGATTTTGTGGTAGTCTAAAGTTGAATAAATTAAACGTATGATATATCTAAACATTATTGGAATGTTACTATACTGCAATTTACAACCTATTGAGGACTGCTTGAAAATGAAAGCATGTATAAGACAAGGACAGTGGAATAATGCATATATCCTTTTGCATAAGACATATTATCTCGAAGGTGCAGTACTAGTTTTTAACAAACAATGAATCCTATCTTTCTATTGTGTGGTCCGTACCATAGATATACTGTGAAGCATAAATCCATTCCCAAATAGTTTAGTGTGTTATAATGTTCCTGTTTGAATTCACAAGTGGCCATTTCTAGGGCCCAGTATTTGACATATGTTCTATCACAATTTGCTTTTACAACTTATTCTACTATATTCAGTTTTCTGTTGTCTCCAGTCTTAAGATGTGGATTTGAGGACTAGCTCTATGTAGAAAATGTATTGTTCACACAAAAATGGTGCCAGGCTGTCGCAGCTTTCACTAATTTTTTTTGAGCATGTTTAATTACATTGCTTCTAGCTTTCATGTTGCCATTCCTTTTGGAGCTAGTTGATTAACTATGGTACTTCCTATAATTTTATCGGCGGTTACTTTTAGGCAAAGACTTAAAGAAATTGTTTTTCTTATTTAAATAAAGACTTAAATGACATTAATTAGTCAATATTCGTTATAGTAAGACATTTACTCACCAATTTAATGACATTATTGAATTTGGATAAAATATCATATGAATAAAGAATTCAAAATTCAAACTTTTTAGAATTGTATCCTTACATAATATTGTGTGATAAGTTGAATGATTCCATAATACATTATGTGAAAATAAAGTAATATTATTTTTCTTTATAGTTATCACTATGTCAAATCTTGTGAAACTTGAATTCGCCGCACTGGACATCAGCGGAAAAAACTATTTGTCATGGGTACTAGATGCTGAAATTCACCTAGATGCCAAGAGCTTAGGTGATACCATAAAAATTGGGAATACCGCATCAAAAGAAAACAAAACCAAAGCCATGATTTTTCTGAGACACCACCTCCATGAAGACCTAAAGTCTGAGTATTTAACTGAGAGAGACCCCCTAGAACTATGGGAAAACCTTAAACAAAGGTATGACCATCAGAAAATAACCATACTCCCCGCGACCCGTTATGAATGGACCCATTTAAGGTTGCAAGACTTTAAGTCTGTGGTTGATTATAATTCAGCAATGTATATAATTACTTCTCAGCTAAGGCTGTGTGGAGAAAAAATAATTGATGATGAAATGCTTGAGAAAACATACTCCACTTTTCATCCATCAAACAGTGTTCTGTCCCAACAACACAGGCAAAAGGGGTTTACAAAATATTTTGACTTGATGAATCAATTACTTGTTGCTGAGAAAAATAATGAGTTTATCCTGAAGAATCATCAAACTTGCCCCACTGGTTCTACCCCAGCGCCATTCCCTGAAGCGAATGCGGTGACTAATAATAATAGCAATAAGAAAGAAAGAAGGCACGCTAGCCGTCGTGGCCGGGGGCATGGGAGAGGTCGCGGTAGGGGGAGTTACCATGGCAATCGTGGTGGTCATACTCATCGAGGTGGTTATAGAGGTGGTCGGGTCACTCACTTCAAGGGCCCATCTCGCCACCAGAAGTGGCAGAAAAATGAGAATTATGGTAAGGGTTAATCTCAAAAGACAGAAAATACATGTTTTCGATATGGAGCAAGAAATCATTGGTCGCGTACCAGTCGTACGCCCAAGCATCTAGTGGAGCTCTATCAGCAGTCATTGAAGAATAAAGAGAACAAGGTTGAGACAAATTTTGCCTTTGATGATGATGACCTTCTTGACGAGCCTGGCAGCTCAACCCATTTGGAAGTTGGCAATTTTCTAGAAGAAAAACATTGATTATTTTCTATGTTTTGGCATCACACTATTTTCCTTTACTTGATTGGACTTTATTCATTTCATTATTATGTTTTAAATTGTTTACTTTATGGATCATGTTATGCTCTATGCTTTGAACTTATCATTTTGTTTTGATGTGGTTAGAATAATTTACTTAGACCTTCATTTTAATGTGCACATTATATTTGACAATTTTATTTATTGTGGGCACTTTATTAACACGATTCTTTTATTATTGATTTAGATAATTTTAATTTATAGTGAAAATGGACACAAATGTTGTCCAAATTACTATGAATGGTGAAGAGTTGTGCCTTGCTGATAGTGCTACTACGCATACAATACTTAGAAATATTCACTATTTTTCTGAGTTGAAAATGCAAAAGGCAAATGTTAACACCATTATTGGTGCTAATAAATTAATAGATGGCTCTGGAAGAGCCAATCTCGTGTTGCCCGGAGGTACAAAATTCCGAATTGATGATGCATTATATTCCCCCAAATCTAAAAGGAATTTACTAAGTTTTAAGGATATCCGCCGAAATGGATATCATATTGAAACAACCAAAGAAGGAGATACTGAATATCTCTACATAATCGATAAAACTTCGGGTATTAAAAGGGTGTTGGAAAAATTACCCGCATTTTCATCTGGATTGTACTACACCAAAATTAGTACAATTGAATCGTATATGACCATAAACCAGAAATTTATGGATCATGATAAGTTTATTATTTGGCATGATCGGCTAGGCCATCCCGGATCAACAATGATGCGAAGAATTATTAATAACTCATGTGGACATCCACTCAAGAATCAGAAGATTCTTTAAACCAATGAGTTATCTTGTGTTGCTTGCTTTCAAGGAAAATTAATTACTAGACCCTCACTGACTAAAATTAGAACGGAATCACTTTCCTTTTTAGAACGTATTCAAGGTGATGTATGTGGACCAATTGACCCACCATGTGGACCATTTAGGTATTTCATGGTTTTAATCGATGCATCGACTAGATGGTCACATGTGTGTTTATTATCGACTCGCAACCTGGCGTTTGCGAGATTACTAGCTCAATTAATTAGATTAAGAGTGCATTTTCCTGACTATCCAATTAAAACTATTCGCCTTGATAATGCTGGTGAGTTCACCTCCCAAGCTTTTAATGATTATTGTATGTCCATCGGGATAAAAGTAGAACATCTTGTAGCACATGTTCATACTCAAAATGGTCTCGCAGAGTCACTAATTAAATGACTCCATCTTAGTGCAAGACCATTACTTCATCATTTTCATCATTTTCATCATTTTCATTTACCCCAGTGCCGCAAAGGCTCCCACCTACGATGGGGTAAGGGGGGGTCGGATGTACGCAGTCTTACCCCTATACTAAAACATAGAGAGACTGTTTCCGGATGACCCATAGTGAAAATTGCGTCCAAAATTGCATGGACTGACTGCTGCTTCATTACAAAGAAGCGCAGACAGTTTAGTGAGCCATTTTGCTTTATTCCATCATAATCTCAAGCCAAAAAATAATGAATCTTTGGCCCCATTGCAAATGATGGAAATGCAAGACCATTACTTATGGGATGTAAACTCCCTATTTCAGATTGGGGGCATACAATTTTACATGCAGCAACACTAATTCGCATCAGGCCAACAAGTTATTGTGAATTGTCTCTTCTACAAATGGTTTTGGGTAATGAACCAAATATTTCCCATCTAAGAACATTTGGATGTGCCGTATATGTACCTATTGCTCCACCACAACGTACTAAGATGGGACCCCAAAGAAAGTTGGGAATATATGTTGGCTATGAATCTCCTTCCATAATAAGATATTTAGAGCCATTAACGGAGGATTTATTTACAGCTAGATTTGCTGATTGTCATTTTAATGAATCAAATTTCCCAACATTAGGGGGAGAAAGAAAGCAGCTGGAGAAAGAATTATGTTGAACTGTACCATCATTATTACATCTTGATCCTCGTAATAAAGAGTGTGAAATTGAAGTCCAAAAGATAATACATATACAAGGTTTAGCGAATCAATTGCCAGACGCTTTTACTGATACTAAAGGAGTGACAAAGTCACTAGTACCAGCTACCAATGCTCCCATTAGACTAAATGTCCCAGCAGGACATGTCGTTGCAAATGAATCAAAAACACGCATGAAGCGTGGAAGACCAATCGGTTCTAAAGATAAAAATCCTCGAAAAAGAAAGGGAGCAAAGAATGAAAATGGCCAAGAAGAGGATAAAATAAACTTGAGAGTAGATTTTCCTGAAGAGAACATTAACGGGACTACAAATCCAGAAAAGGATCAGGTACCTGAAAATGAAGAGATCTCAATAAATTATGTCACGACAGGAATTGTTTGGAACCGACATGAAATCGACGTCGATGATGATGAAGAAAATGACATTTTTGCATATCATATAGCGCTAGATATAATGAATGAAAATGAGGATCAAGAACCAAGAACAATGCAAGAATGTAGACGCAGAGATGATTGGCCAAAATGGAAAGATGCAATTGAGGCTGAATTACAATCGCTAGAAAAGCGAGAAGTCTTTGGACCCGTGGTTAAAACACCAGAAGATGTTAAACCAGTGGGTTATAAATGAGTCTTTGTGCGTAAAAGAAATGAAAAGGGTGAAATTATCAGATATAAAGTCCGTTTAGTTGCACAAGGATTTTCACAAAGACCCCACATTGATTATGATCAGACATATTCTCCTGTGGTGGATGCTACTACTTTTAGATACCTAATTAGTCTGGCAATACGTGAAGGACTAGATTTACGTCTCATGGATGTTGTGACAGCCTATTTATATGGCTCGCTTGATACTGATATATTTATATGGCTCGCTTGATACTGATATATATATATATATATATATATATATAAGCCATATGAAACTTCCGAAAGGTTTTAAGCTGCCTGAAGCATACAATAGAGGTTCTCAAGAACAATATTCTATTAAACTAAACAGATCTCTATATGTTTTAAAACAATCAGGGCGTATGTGGTACAATCGACTAAGTGAGTACTTATTAAATGAAGGGTACAAAAATGATGATATATGTCCATATATTTTTATTAAGAGATCTGGTCAGGAGTTTGTCATTATTGCAGTTTATGTTGATGATCTAAACATTATTGGAACTTCTGAACAACTACAAAAGGCAGTTGAATATTTGAAAAGGGGATTTGAAATGAAGGATCTTGAAAAGACCAAATACTGCGTGGGATTACAAATTGATCATTTAAATAGTGGTATCCTTGTGCATCAAACAACCTATATAGAGAAGGTGCTAAAAAGATTTTTAATGGATAAGGCACATCCTTTAAGCACCCCAATGGGTGTAAGACAACTTGAAGTTGATAAGGACCCATTTAGACCGCGTGGAGATAATGAGGATATTCTTGGTCCAGAAGTACCATACCTAAGCGCAATTGGAGCACTAATGTATCTTGCAAGTCACACTAGACCCGATATATCCTTTGCTGTAAATTTATTGGCAAGATATAGTTCTTCTCCAACACGAAGACATTGGAATGGGGTCAAACAAATACTTCGTTACCTTCAAGGTACAAAAGACATGGGTCTATTATTTTCTAACATGTCCAAAACAGAATTGATTGGTTTTGCAGATGCAGGTTATTTATCTGTCCTCATAAAGGGAGATCACAGACTGGATATGTGTTTACATGTGGAGGAACAACAGTTTCATGGCGTTCCATGAATTAAACAATTGCGGCAACATCATCTAATCATGCAGAGTTATTAGCCATTCATGAAGCCAGTCAAGAATGCGTATACTTAAGAAGTGTAATTCGGCATATTAGACAGTCATGTGGATTATGGTCTGAAAAGGAGCCTCCGACCATCGTGTTTGAAGACAATGCAACTTGTTTCCACCAACTTAAGGAAGGATTCATCAAGGGAGATAGGACGAAACATATTTCACCAAAATTTTGGTATACACATGACATTCAGAAAGAAGGAGAGATCATGGTTCAACAAATGATATCCTAATACTCATATCATTTCTTTTGCTTTTTGAACAGTTATTTGATATTGTTAAACAGTTCTTTTTAATGTTGATTTGATTTGTCTATTTGATGCAACACAACCAATACCGAAGAGATCAACTTGAGTATTTTTAGCAATGTTTTTTATTCATTCCGTGCTCCTATAATTATCTCATTTTTACATTTTTAGAGGTCCTCCCTTTTTGACCAATATCATATATGGTAACATTTGTGTGACTCTAAGAGCATATTTAATATTACAATGTGCACAGTGCACATGTGTTATGAGAGATAACCACATAAATATGACTCTCTCCGTGCCGCTAAGATTGTCACTGACACTATTCACTTGGTCAACACTAATCACTTTTAATCTCTTACTTAATATATCAATTTTTTATCAAATTTGATTCTGGTTTTTGCGAATTTGTAAATCTTTTAATGTAGTTTCTGAATATGTATTTTTTTCTAAAAACAATTTGAGTGCGGACATGAATCTGTTTGCTTTATCGTCGGTCAAACATCGTAAACTGAATTGTCCCAAACTTAGTGGGAAGAAGGTAGTATTAAATAAATTATCTTTCTCTTTATTTGAATGATTTTATATAATTTTGGTAAGTTTTTCTCTGCAATGTCAACCACAATGTCAACATGTAGACGGTTTTCTTGACATTGTAAAGAAAAACTTATTAAAATTGTACAAAATCATTCAAATAAGAACATATATAATTTATTTGCTAATATTTATGTGACTATCTCTAATGTCACATGTGCACCGTACACATTGTAGTATTGTAGATTTGTAGATGCTCTAATTTATTCTTACTTTATTTCCAATTTATCAACTCATTATGAAACGCATAATTTTCTTTTCTTAAAAATCACACCGCTTCCTTCCGTCCCAATATTAGAGGAACGGATGGAGTATTATTTAAAGATTAATGAAAGACCATGAGTTTTCTAGAACACGTATTGTGTGTTTGGCCCAATGACTTTTTTCAAAAGTCAGGATCTTTTCTTGAACGCTAGCCAAATTAGCGTTGAATAAGAAAGACCTTTTCCTTCTTTCCTCCTTTCCTCTTATAACCCGCGTGCCGCTTTTTCTTCTTTCCTCGAATAACCGCCGTTCTTCTCCTACTTCATTAAACAGTGCGCCCAAGTCTCCAAGTTTTTCTTTCTACGGTGGTCTCTCCAAGCAGGTATGTTCAATCTTCTTGCTATTCTATTGTCTTGTTAAACTGTTTCATCTATCTTTGCTCTTAGCAAATGTTTCTTGATTTTTTATAGTTTTGATTAACAATTCATAACCAAAGTCTGTGTAAGACTGTATAAATCTGGTAAAATCT